TATATATATATATATATATATATATATATATATATATATATATATAGTCAAGGAGATGAGAAATACAATATAATATATCGTTCGACTTATTTTTAAATTTTTTAAATTGTTCAAGTTTTGTGGTAAAAATAAATAGTGCATGAACAATAGTATGTATATAATATATTCATGTTGGTTTAGTGTATAAAATAATATATTAATGGAAAAAAAAAATGTAATATTTCTTAGTTTTTAGGCAAAATATGGGATTTTCCGATCCCAATCCCGAATCCCCGAAATATTTAGGGATACCGATATACCAGAATTTAATAGTATGTGACGGGATTGGGATTTAAAATTTGTACCCCGAATCCCGAAATCCCTATCCCAAAAATCCTGAATTCCCGAAATCTCGTCCCGAACTCACCCTATCACCAATGATGTAAATCTCCTTGATAGTTAAGTTATCTATATATTTTCCAAACAAGGAGCATAACAAATTATCCCATAATAAATTTATTTAAGAATCTCTTTTGTTGATTCAAATTAGATAATGTTATTCATTGGTAATTTATCCAATTTTAAATCAACCTCCCCCTAATGAATTTTTCCTTCATCCACTTTTGACTTGTTCTATAGAACTCTTTATTCAATTTACGTAAAAGTCCAAGTCAATCCTTGACAAATCTTTGATCCTCCCAAAATCTTTTAGTACGACACACATTAACAAGCTAATAAATTCCAACTTAATTGCTGTTTAATAAATTAATTAACAAATAAATTATATATTATAATAATCGAAAAATAAAGACTACTCAAGTTCCCACAAGTGGGGGAGATTTTGAGATATATTTATATTAAATTAAAATAGTACTCAAAAAATAAAATAAAAAAAAAATAAAAAATCAGGTGCGATCGGATTCGATCTTTACAGCGGATCTGATTAATTCAGAACCAAACAAAAAGCATATATAGAAATTAATACAAACGTATGGGGCAGGCAAATATTTAAGATCTGTTTGGTTTGATTGCAAACATGGGAGAATCACTTTTTTTCCTCTTTTCCCACTTCAAGTTCTTTTAAAAAGTATTTTCTATAATATATATATTTGAAAAAGTAGGAGATTTTTTAAATCAGATTTTGGCTGATGATTCTCTATCACTGATTTGATCATTCCTTTGGCTCTTTTGTCAACTTTTTTTCCACATGATTTTTTTTTTTTTTTTTATGTAGATCTTGAAATGTTATTAATATGTTTTAGACGTTTGATTCTGTCAAATAGATTTGATTTGATTCATCTTACTTTGTTATTAGTTTAAGATTTTTATATTGTATAACTTAATTTTGAAGCTCTATATTATATGAGTGTTTATCTTTTTATGAAGTAGTTTTTGTGATCTTGTTTTTTTTTTTCGGTTTTTTTAATAAAAGAACACGCAGTTGCTTATATAGATGCACTGGATAAATATATATTCTCGTTTAATAATTTGCAAAACCATTTGAAAAATAATAGTACTATACTAATCATGTGTGATAAATTTCACCTAACGACCGTTGGTAAGAGAACAGTGGCGAGGCCGGAAAGTTTGATGAGGGGGGCTTAAATATACGGGGGCTTGGGGGTAGCGTCCCCGAAATTTTTTTTGCTACTAAAGAAATTTACGATGACAATTTGATATGAATTTTTTTTTCTTCACTTTCAGAAGATAATACCAAAACAAATCGCGGAAACTAAATTGCTATGAAAATTTAAGAAACATGAATATCAAATTGACACAAACGACTTCTAATTGATATACAATCAGAAAATTAAGATGAGAGAGAAGTTGTCAAATACTAAACGATCGCCGGTGGATGGTAATTTAACCGCTATTAGTGTGACTGTGGGAGAGAACAAAGTTTTTTTTTTCAAGAAATATAACGAAGTCGAGAAATAGAAGATGAGGGCAAGTCAGACATGGAGACTTTGAGTAAGTGGACTAAAAATAAGTGGCTTAAATAATATAATTGAGTAAACTAAAAAAATAAATAGGACATATATATATATATATATATATATATATATATATATATATATATATATATATATATATATATATTTGGAAGTGAGTGGGGGCTTGATTCCACCCTAGCCCTTGGGCGGACTCGCCCCTGTACGAGAATTTGAACCTGAGTCGATTGATACAGACTCATTTGCTCTAAACGCTATGTCATTTCATGCGGGACTGTATCCCCTAGTTAGTTGTGTAAAAGATAATGCGATATTTAACAACCTGAATTCGATTGATGTTGTTAATGTTTTCTTTTAAAAGTGCAAAACTCGATGAGGGTGATGAGGAATTGTGCTGGACCAGAACATCTATCCGTCTATAGATCAAGAATCAATGAGAACATAATGATATTTATAATAATTTACATCGAGCTCGTTACACATGATTTAACCATTTCGATTTTTCACCGCACGAAATTTACACATCGAACACCTATAAATGTTAGTTCTTTTATTTTTGCTCAAAATTTGTCTATGGGCATTGACAAATGTTAATAAATTGTTTTAAACAACAAAATTAGAAGTATCTATAGAGCAACTATTTGAGCTTTTATTTTTAAATATTTTTGTTCAGAATACTGTATTAAATTTATTTTTAATGTTTTAACCTTGTTAATTCAGCATTGAATATTAATTTTCTCTAATAAATTATTAAAATAACAAAAATTGTTTTACTTTTGTTTATTAATTTCCTAAAATCAAGTCATATTTGTTTGTGAGTTTCTTATGAAAATTAAACAATTATTCTGATTTTTTTTTTCTTTTTTGAATAAATAGACTAATTGATTAAAATTGTGATTGAATTTTTTTTTTTTTGATAGGTAATTGTGATTGAATTGAATGTTTGAGAAGAAAGGAAAAAGAAAGGGAGATTGTCAAAATCTTTTAGTGGGACCCAATATCTAGCCCATAGATTCTGTTCAAGCCGCCAGCTTCTGTTCTGATTTCGATTTGATGAAAAATCAAAAGTATTGTCAATCCAATATTTTGACCGCTGGATTTCCTTCAATCTTGTCTTCAAAAGTCAACAAAATTTCGATTTTCAAAAATTACAAAACAGCCCCTTATCTTTTTCATAATTACTTTTGTCTCCCTCAAGTTAAAACAGTAGTAATTACTACCAACTGTAAATAAACAGATAAAAAATCTAATATGCAGTGTGCAGTCAATCAGCACAAGATCCAAGACGGTCAACTAAAAGTAATTCATGAAATGACCACACTATTTTTTTACTGTTCTTTTCCCCATTTGTTTTTTTTTTTTTAATCTTAAAAAAATAATTCACATTTTACGTTGCAACAGACAGAATCAAATCTGAATAACTTACCACATATTTTTTTACACAAAAACAATGTGTACCGTACGATGTTGTCTGCTAACCCAAATCATTAAACAACCAAAAATAAAATATATTTATAAAGATGTGTGTAATCGGATAGATCGGATTTGCCATTTCAGAAAAAAATTATTTTTTTTGGGAATGAAAAACTAGTTTCAATTTTGTTCCGAGAAAATTATAAAAATAATTGGAAATTGGAAATTAAAACGAAAAAACTTGTTTCAAAATCAGAAAATTTCGGATAAAAATCGGCCTCATTAAACAATAAAAAATAAATATTTAGGCATAGTTGGTAGTGTAAATCGGACGGATCAAATCACAATGAGCCATTTTAGAAAAAAAATTATTTTTTTCCAGAAGTAAGAGACTAGTTCCACTTCATTCAAAAAAAAATATAAAAAAAATCCAAAATCGGAGTTTCGGAAATTAGAACGAAAAAATTTGTTCCAAAATCGAAAAATTTCAGTTGGAAATTGGCAGAATTTTCCAATGTTTGCTCACCTTAAGTATAAAATACATAATAATATTGGTATTTTAATTGTAATATTCGTAAATAAGAAAAATTGGAATTTTTGAAAAAAAAAAATCAGAACTTCAATCAGTATCTCATATTAGGCTGTTGGATTGGTCGATTACCAGCCTAAAAACCAACCTACCCGTCAAACCATTTTTTCCTCAAAATTTGAAAACCGTTGCTGGCCCAAACTTGGGTCGGTTGATGGTTGACGACCGAATATTTTGTTCCGGAATGGGTTGGTTGATGATTTATACCCGCCACCTAGTCCACTTAAAAAAACTTCAAATTTTGGAATAAAAATATCCACATTTTGCGTAATGCCACGGTGTGATCATCGTTTATCAGTTCAAAATAATTAATAACAATTTAATGAAAAAATATAATTAGAAAATTCAAAGTAATTTCAAACATGCATACAAGATTTAGTGGAGTTTTGTGGACTTTTTGTTTAAGCTTGGGCATGAAGAAACTGGTTGAAGATTTATGTCATCTTTATTGATTGTTTTAAAATTTAAAATACTAATTATTTTGATAATTTCAATAACCACTTAAGAAAACACGGTCCTTATTTTATATTTTTAATAAAATTTTAATAGTATAGTTGGATGATCGATAATTATCGATCAACCAACTTTTCATAATATTATAAACCACCAACCGACCCATTATAAATGGGTTGGTTAAAATTTTCGATCCGATCCAATGGGTCGGTTAAAAATTGATTATCCACCTAAAAATATGGTCGGTTGGTGGATAAAAACTAACACAGTCCCAAGCCTATCTCGTATGTTTCAATTACAATCCAAATAATTTCGGAAAAATAAACAATCGAAATTTTGGAATTTCGATCAAACAGTGAAAAATTTCGGAACTGAATCGGCGAAAATACGTTTCAATTTCCACCTCTAGTATTCTTTTTAAATTAAATTAATATATATTTATTTATTGAAGAAGTTGAAACTGTCAACATAAAGGCGACAACTCGTACATAATGCGGAATAGATATGCAAAAGATTTTCCCTGTCTCTCTCTCTTCATCTCCCCCCTCTAAACTAGATTTCCTTTTCTCTCTCTAAGATCTCTCTCTCTCTACACATTAACCAACATAGCATCATAGCCCCACCGCCCCACACACATATATATATACACACACACTCACACCCAAAAGTAGGTGTAGTTCTGTACATTATCTGAGAAACCCACTTCAAATTTCTCATAAAAAAGCAATCTTTTTTTTGATTTCTTTTAATAATTTGCAACTAACTACCCAATGGCTGTGGAAGAAATATTGCATGTTCTTGCTGTGGACGATAGTCTTGTTGATAGGAAGGTTATTGAGCGTCTCCTCAAAGTTTCTTGCTGTAAAGGTTTGTTCTTTTTCATTATGTGTGTGTGTTTTTTTGTGTGTTTTTTTCTTGATTTATGTTGTAATGAAATGGTGATTTGCAGTTACTGCTGTTGAAAGTGGGAGGAGGGCTCTTCAGTATCTGGGGTTAGATGGGGAGACCAGCTCTGTGAATTTTGATGTAAGAAAATCACTTCTCTCTCTCTCTCTCTCTCTCTCTCTCTCTCTCTCTCTCTCTCTCTCTCTCTCTCTCTCTCTAATCTCTGAAGATCATAGTTGTTTTTCTTCAGTTATAGTGTTAAGTTTCATTTGGGATTGGAATAAAGAGTTTGTTGATCTAGTGTTCTCTCTCTCTCTCTCTCTCTCTCTCTCTCTCTCTCTCTCTCTCTCTCTCTCTCTTAGGATCATAACTACTTTTCTTTAGTTATAGTGTTTAAGTTTCATTTAGG